TGACCTGTACATGGCCTTCATCGACCAAACCAAGGCCTTTGACTCGGTTAACAGGGAAGCCCTGTGGTGGACCCTCAGCTGTTTTGGCTGGCCACCAAAATTCATCGTCATTGTGAGGCGACTCCACGATGGCATGAACGGTAGTGCCCTGCACAATGGCACCCAATCTGAGTTCCTCCCCATTCAAACGGGGGTAAAACAAGGATGTGTACTAGCACCAACTCTCTTTTCCATTTTCTTGGCTGCCTTCTTTACTCGTGCCAGTGCTAATTTAGCCGGCAGGGTGAACATCCAGTACCGGATGAAGGGTCTTTTCAACATATGACGACTCCGGGCAGGAACAAAGTTGAACTTCAGTATGCAGATGACCTCACCCTTGTCGCTCACACTGAACGTGACCTACAGGATATCCTGAACACCTACACAGATGCATGTATGCACCCTTCAGCCTTGAGGTGAATGTACGTAAGACTCAGATTCTCTTTCATCCTGCCCCTGGTTCAGCCACACCTCAACCATCCATCCAGCTTAATGGTACTACCCTCTCTAATGTTACCCACTTTCAGTATCTCGGCTCCCACTTGTCCACCACTGTGGATATCGATGAAGAGATTCAATATCAGATCGGATGTGCATCTCAAGCCTTTGGCAGACTCCGTACACGTGTCTTCAGCTGTTGGGAGCTGAAATTATCTACAAAGTTGCATGTATATCGAGCAGTGGTCCTCCCCACTCTTCTATATGGCAGCGAGACATGGGTCACATACAGGAGGCACCTCAAGTCACTAAAAACTTTCACCAACGTAGTCTACGTTCCATCCTCTGAGTTCGCTGGGAAGACAAGAAAACAAATGCCAGTATTCTCGCTGACACCAACTGTAGGAGCATTGAGGCTACCATTATCTATGAACAACTTCGTTGGACTGGCTGGGAACTGAAAGGGTATAAGGATATTCTCAAAACAATCCTGAAAAAGTGCCAAGTCGATCCCCTCACCTGGGAGACTATCACTCCACACCGTAACGTTTGGAGTTGCACCACACGAGAAGGCGTTAATACTTTCGAGTTCGCCCAATTGCATACCGAGGCAGAGAAGCACCAACGCCGGAAAGACTTTGCCGCCGCCCCTCCTGCACTAGATGTAGCCCTCCACACACGCAGCATCTTTGGACAACCCTGCATGTCCCGTATCATTTTAACATTGATGGATGATTGGCATACTCGATTCCTAGTGACAGCAAAGTAGTAGTAATCATGTGTGTTGAATTTAGTTGAATTGAAACAGTTTATTAAGCCAGAAAAACACAGATACAGAGTGGATAATAATAACAATATTAACATGACTGAGCCAGTTGAGAACCTGAGCTCTCCTTTAGGCACCTGATATATACAATACATTTATCTTCAGGAAGTATTATGTAACATTTAGTAACATCTGGAATAGTACAATAGCGTGGTGGTAATAAGAACATTTCATAATGTTACAACGGTTATCACTTCAATATTTATTTATTTTTATTTATTTATTATTTTTTTTTTAGTTTACTTTTATTTTTTTAATTATAAGTATGTACATAAATTACAGTGGAATTGAAAAACATAAGTATAATGGGGGAGCAGTACAACCTGGGTTGTACAGTATTAAGGTTGAACAAGAGGACAGAGCTGTCAGGATTATGTCTAGTTGGCAAATATGTTTAGTGCAATGGTAATTTCTTATCTATTTACATGATAATTTCCGATAAAACGGTTTTGATGGTACAATAAAAGCAGGCACTGTAAATATAGTAGGTATTACAAGAAATATTAATACTTAGACAATAGATATTTTTTAAGAGATGATTTAAAGGAAGGGAGCATAGTGTTTGCTCGGATGTGTGGGGGTAAAAGTTGTTCTACACCTTCACACAGTGATATTTTATGGAGGTCTGGGACTGAGAGGAGCGCATGGGGGGTTGGTCCTAGTAGCTCTGGGTGCCTTAAGTTGTATCTCTGATTATTCCGGAACTGGAAATAATTATTGTCAAGCAAGTGATTGATAGATTTGTAAACAAAGAGGGCACAGCAGTAGGTGTTAATATCTTCGAATTTTAAAATTTTTAATTTAGCAAATTTTTCGTTTGTGTGATCTGTTTTTGTTTTTTTCAAGTAGGCCATTGTCCGTACAACTCTCTTTTGTGCAGTAACCAGAGATTGTGTTTTTGAAGAGCCAGATGCTCCCCATAGTGTGTGACAGTGTATCAGGTGTTGGTAAACAAGATCATGATAGATTTCTTTCATTGCTGTGGGAGTGAGTGACTGTCGAGTGTGATACATGATATCGCTCTGTTTATTGACTTTGCTATGAATGGCTTGTATGTGGTTTCTCCAGTTAATTTCTCATCAACAATAACTCCGATCAGTTTAGTATTTTGTTCGTGTTTGAGGACTGTATTACCAAGATACAGGGGGTCCAAGTCTGGGGGTAAGTTTTTCCCTCTGTGAAAGATCGTGTAGTGGGTTTTCTCAAGGTTTAAGGTCAGTTTATTACGTATTACCCAGGTCCTGACTTTAGTCAATTTAGTGTTCATAGTTCTCATCAAGGAATTGAGGTCTGAGTTGCTGGCATAGAGATTACTATCGTCTGCAAATAAGTTGTATTTTATGAGTGTGCTGGCATGGACTATGTCGTTTATGTACAACAAAAACAGTACTGGACCGAGAATGGAACCTTGGGGGACGCCATGCAAGATTGGCGAGGAGTCAGATTGGTGATTATTATAGCAGACATACTGCATCCTGTTGGACAGATTGTGGGATAGGCCCGCCGTAATGCTCAAGCTTTGGAAGGAGGATGGTATGGTCGACAGTATCGAATACTGTTTGTAAACTTTGTGGCCAACCCGACTCTCACACCCTCTCTCACTACATCCTCACTTGCCCTATGACCTCCTCCTATAGGTCCCCAGCCGTTAGCAACACCTCTTCCCTCCCAGACCAGATATCCCTCCTCCTAGTCACAGGCCTGGCATTTGACATTATTAGGGACCTGCCACTCTTTGCCATAAACAGATAAAATGTACCGGGAATTTTCCCCCCACACTCTCATCATTCTCTCACTTTATGTAACTTGACAAAACCTATGACCCTTCAGGCTTTTACGCTCTTAATGTACGAGTCATAAAGGCAAGTATGAACGTTTCATACTTCCCTGTTGGGCGCTGTAAACGCTTCTGCGCTTCACCTTGCACAGGATGTAAGGGGGTGCCCAATAAACTAGCCCCCCTCGGGGGCAAATCTGAATCTGACAGTATCGAAGGCTTTAGAGAGGTCCAAGAATATACCGACTGTGAACTGACTGTCATCAAAGGAATTTAAGATGTCATTAGTAAAGGATAGCAGGGCACTCTCAGTCGACCTTCTAGGTCTAAATCCAAATTGTGAGTCTGTAAAGATGTTATTGGCATTGCAGAAGGAATTTAGTCTACTACATGCTAGCTTCTCCAGTATCTTACTCAAGGCTGGGAGGACTGATATGGGGCGGTAATTCTTGAAGAGACCTTTGTCCCCAGATTTTTTATATGCTGGGTGAACTTTAGCAATTTTCAGTTTATCCGGAAAGACACCACTAGTGAAGGAGGAGTTACAAATGTGTAGGAGAACAGGTAGTAATAAGTGGGCTCCTTTCTTAATGATGCTCATTGATATATTGTCTTCAACTGCTGCTGCTTTGGACATTTTTATGATGGCCAGTAATTCGTCTGCAGTGACAGGGGATAAGAACAGCTCATTTTGCTGTCTGTTTTACAGGTAGGTTCTAAATTCCTCATGGTGATCAGGGATGCTCTCTGCAAGATTTTTGCCAACATTAATAAAATATCCATTGAAGTGGTTGACAATGAGGAAGGGTTCCGTTACAACTGAATCATTTATCATAAAAGCGGAGTGGGGGGCCGAAGGCTGAGTGTTCCTATTCTGAATAGAATTTATGACATTCCAGGTTTTCTTACCGTCGCCTGGTGCTGACTGGAGCTTATTTGTATGATAGCTACGTCTGGCATTTCTAACTGCTTGAGTTACTCTATTTCTGATACCTGTACTTTGGTAAGCATCACCGAAAGTTATGGGTCTTTTTGCAAATTTCCTTTGGAGTTTGTGTTTTCTTTTATCATTATCTTAATTTTGCCTGTGATATAGGGTTTGGAAATGGATACAGTTTTCACTGACTTAGTCTTGAGCGGGAAGCATTTATCAAAGCAAGCATTGAAGATGCAAGAGAAGTTGCAGCAGTTCACGTTAGGGTTGTCGGAGGCATAGACAAGATCCCAGTTAGCATTCATTAGGTTGTTTTAAAAAAAAGGAGCATGTTGTCGGTGCAGTAGTCTCTGTATGCATTGAGACTACAAGGCCTTTCAGGTCTTGTGGCTGTTTTATACATGGCAAAAACTGGAAAGTGATCTGAGATATTGTTATAAATAATTCCACTTGCAAGATTGTTAGGAGTGTTGTTAGTCCAGATATGATCTATCACAGTGGCAGAGGTGGCAGTTACTCCAGTGGGTTTGGTTATAGTGTTGAAGAAGAGTTTAGAATGACAGGTAGCAAGAAGGTCTAATACTGAGGTGTCGGTTTCTGATTTTAATAGATCAAGGTTGAAATCTCCTCTAATGTAGCAGTCTTTCCTCTCTGAACTTATGATAGTGATAAACTCCGAAAATTGACCAAGAAAATTCCTTACATTAGTGTGGGGTCGTCTGTAGATTACTCCTACAAGGTACTAGGATATTTCGTGTGTCGTTACGTAATTCAATGAAAACACTCTCCATGTACTCCTCCTGAACCTTTAAATCATCTCTTACAGAAGTGTATGTTAAAGTGTATTTATGTTGTGAACATGTATATAAGGCTGGGTAGGCGACTCAAGGGTGAACGTAGTAGTAGTAAAAGTGCCCCCTGGTGGTGGCAGCAGCAGCAGTATGGATGGGGGAGGGCCGCGGCACGCTACCCATCCCTCAGTCTGGTTGAGCCGTCGCCACGCCCACCACGCTTGCTCCACTCTCACGCCCGCGCCCTAATACTCCCTACACATTTCGTATTGACGTCCCCACACACTATATCATATTTTCTATTAAATGTTGGATTGACCATTAACTCGTCGGATCTGGCCGATAGCTGCTAGATTTGTAATTTGTCAGAACAAGTCTCACGGGTGGCGTGTGTAAGGTCTAGAGAAGGGAAGGAAGAAGAAGCGCCTCTTGCTGTGACTTCAAAAGTGCTTTTGAAGATGAGAAGGAAACATAGAACTTGATGATAAAACTAAGTGTGTACGTAAAGGAAAATAACATTTTTTTTTCTTCATCAGTACTATTATTATCATTATTATTATTATTATAAATGGAACGTAACAGAAGAGTGGTAAACTAGTGAGAGGTGTTATGTGTTACTGGAATACCTTCGACTTGCGTGAGGTAACGTGTGTGTGTGTGTTTGTGGTGACTGGCGAAGAAGGTAGTTTGTGCAGGATCGTCAGCAGGAATCTCAATAACAGGTAAGTTGTTGGGTCACCGATGACCTCATCTGTTGAGAAGGTGGTGGTGGTGGTCCTGGGCCTCCACTGATGAGTTACCTTTATCTCCTCCAGGTGTTTTTCTCGAATATTCTCCTTTACCTTATTTTTCAATGCACTACAGTTACCGTCACCTTCACTCCTGGTGGTGTAGCTCGTCACCTTCACTCCTGGTGGTTTAACTCGTCACCTTCACTCCTGGTGGTGTAGCTCGTCACCTTCACTCCTGGTGGTGTAGCTCGTCACCGTCACTCCTGGTGGTGTAGCTCGTCACCTTCACTCCTGGTGGTGTAGCTCGTCACCGTCACTCCTGGTGGTGTAGCTCGTCACCGTCACTCCTGGTGGTGTAGCTCGTCACCTTCACACCTCCTAGTATAAGAAAGAACATAATTTTAGCCGCAGTAATGCATCCGTTTGAGGCAACAGCCACGTGACTCCTGACCTTAAGTGTCAGTGGTATCTCCGTGTTTATCACAGTCTTAATACTTCAATACTGTGTGTGCTATACCGCATTGTGGGTAGCGCGAGGAAATGAGTTTTGTTATGGTATTAGCGCGTGTGAATGGCAGTCATTATTGTTAAATTATTATCACATTAGTATTGTTTTTCATTAATAAAAGTGCCGAAGTGCGGGGAGGTGTACACTACTTTTTATAACACGAATCGTTACTAATGTTGTGTTGTTATTGGTACTAAAAAAATCATGGTGTTTAAGTGTAGCTCAGGGCAGTGAGAGGCGTCTACTGGTTGTGTCCCAATTATAGTGCCACATTATTGTGATACTTCTTGCATATAACAGTTTATTGTGCAGTTCCTTCCTCTGATTTTATAGAGGGAGCAACTTAGTTTATTTTGTTTTAGCTCTTCGTTCGTCACAAGATAATTTTGATCCATTTTGTGTGTACCTTTTCGACAGGCGTTATTGTGAGTGTTTAGGTTACGTTCTTAGGTCAGCAGCAGTGGCAGGGTACACTTTAAACGTATTCGTGGGACAGATGGTGTGTGTTCCAATCCCTTGGTGAGAGGCAGTAGTAGTGTTCGTGTAATATTAGAAGAATTCTCCTGAAACTTGGTTTGGTTGTTCCTCATAAACGGAAGGTGTTCATGTGATTTTATTTCACACGGACATGAATTTTTACAGTAACCTTTGTGAGTTGACTAATGCCGGGGAAGATTGGGGCGCTCCGGCCCACTGGTGTACCTCGACTGTATTGGTAATATTTCTGAAATAATGATTTCAAATTAAAATTTGCATTTCATTAAATGAGGGAAGTGGCATACGCCCCTCTTCTTTAGTCCTCCGTTCACGTTCTTTACTGTTTTAAGAAGAAAACATGATAATTTGATACTACTACTACTACTTTTTTTTTTTTTTTTTTTAACAACGTGGCCTCCAGCCTCCCCCAATAGCCACACCTTCGCCGCCATTTATTTACCTTAATATTAAATATCCTAATACATAAGAAGCTATCCTATCTGTGTTAAATTAGTTGAGCCGCAGATCTATGCGGCATTCAGTGACTGTAGCCTCATAGTCAATATCTGCAGCAGTTGTCGGAGTAGGGGCAGAAGCTCTCGTTCCCCTGAGGCAGAGCAAAGCCGACCGAAGGAGAGAGAAGGACAGTCGACATCTCATCCAGGCTGTAACATAACTTCTGGGCTGCTGCTTCTGTTCGGAGATCAGCTCCGCGAGTCTGGCGTAGAAACATCTTGCACTTGGGCCCATCCCACCAGAGGTTGTGAACACTAGCGGAGTGAAGCTGCCTTGATCAACATTTTGAATTCTCTCCCCATATGCCCTTCTCTTGTCGTTCTCGTTCCTCCTATGTGCAGCATCGAGAGCTAGGTTACGGTGACAAACGGCCATGGGATCAAAAATCCTGATGTCGAAGAAAGCTCGCTGTCCCCGCGTCCAGAATCCTCGAGCACTGACGTCACACGGGCTTCGTTAGATGTGTTTGAAGTCCTGTGTTGGAAGATCTCGCCATCCAGTGGAAGGAGGGTCGGTTCTACCATGACGTCCCGGCAGATTTCCTTCAACATATTTGCTGTGAGATCCCTTACCTCGTCATGCCTCATGCATATGAAGCCCCCCTTCTTGCAGACCATGGCGTGATCGCCATCATAGGGAGAGCCACACACGCATTGGGAGGGCAAACCATCTACTGGCCAACCGTACCTTAGAGCAATGGCATCTGTAAATTCTTGTTTGTTAAGGCTGAAACCATTTGCCCTTATCGGTAACGTAGTTAACCAGTTCGAGGCGCCCACCTCCTGCGCTATAGCTACTTTTTTTGTCAAATTTTCTGGAACCTGCAGCAATAGTTGCTGCAACATGTCATTTTGGCAGTGCTGCCGATCTGTTGTAATGGACCTACGGATCTTATTAACTTCGCTGGTGTCCACTTCCCCTGTTGCATTCTGGGCTATTATGTGGTCAGTGAGGGCTGCCGTGAGCTTAAGTGAATTTTGATGTTCAGAGTCAGCAATCTCCTCTGGATTAGTTAGTCCCATCCCTCCCAGTCTTGGTGGAAGTGCAAGAAGTGTTCTTTCTGCTAGGGTTAAGTCAGGGTGTTTCACTAGTTTGGGAATGAACTTGACACTGATTGCTTCTTCCAAAGGGTGGAGGAGGGGTCGGATCTCAGGGATGGTACGCATCAGGTAGTTCCAACGATGCTTGACTCCATGGGTGAATGCTGCAAAGGCCGCATGTGGCTCTGTGTTAGCAATCTCCGATAGAGCTTGGATTTCGCTCACCAACTCAATCACCTTTCCCGCTACGTACTGGGTCTTGAAGTCCCTAGTGCCAATTACTGCACCTAGATGTCTTTGGCCGTCCTTAGTTATTTTGACCTCACTTTCGCCGAAAACCTCCAAAGCCCGATCATAATGATCTGGCTTCACGATGAGGAAGGATTTGCTGGCGTTTGGGTGGTACCCTATTTGTGGACCTCGCGATGTTACCAGGTCCCACCACTTTTTGATGTAAAGTAAATTAAATTCTTAACTCATAAAATTAGATTCGTCCATTCCCAACAGTTCACGTGGATGATCGTCAGGTTTATGTTAAGCGTCAGTTTTTCAAAGACTACCTGGACAATCGTATTGAATAAATTTAAAACGAATATTGGTAAATTGTGTTTATTTACATTTGCAATGAATTAGTATCTTGGGCACGGGAGATAGTTAGATGACCTCTGTACTAAAGGTCAGAGGTCAGGTGTCGGTAATAATAGATGACGACCTTGAAGAGTAAATGAAACATGGATGGTGATGACTACGTTTGTTTCGTCAAAGATAAACCTTCTACATTGTATCATTGTTTTTTTATTATATAGGTTTATGTTAATAATTTTACCTCATAGTTTATCATTACGTTGGTAACACCTTAACAAAACGATATATTTTTGTTGTTTTCGTATTTCATCAACTGGCATAACGGACGTAAGCTCTGTATAGTATTTTGTTTTTTGTCTGGAACATAGAACTCTATCCGAGTCTGCTGTCTCACTCACCTATCTGTATTTCCTCCTTGCCATTGCCATAACTCGTTAAAACAAAGCCCTGAGTACTGGGCCAGGGGTGAGTAGGAGGCAGGCGCCGTGACACACACACGCACACACACACGAGAGAGGGAAGAAAAACGTTAGTAAAAGTGTTCTCTTTAGGCTTGTTTGTCTTGGGTAAGAAGAACAGCTAAGTTAAAATTATGTGTTTAAAGATTTGTTGGTCGGCGTTTTTTCTCCGGTAACCGCGTTTGCCTTGACGCCCCTTCATTTCCTGTTCGTCGTTTTTATTCTTTTATCATTTCTCACTTGGCAGGGAAGAATATCCAGACAAAATTTTGGCGTTTAAAATATGTTGCCGTTTTCTTGCATTAATGGTGTACCTTTGTCGCACATTCATTCCTTAATTATTATTGTTGTGTATTGTGTTGGTTCTGGTGAGTGCTTTTATGTTCGTCTTTTCACTTAGATTTCAATGTTTATATAACGGTATATGATTTAAGCTTAAAACATTTTAACGAATCTTGGCGGGCGCGGTAAGGCCCATGGGTCTGGCGTCTCCTACTATAGACAAGTTGAATATACAATAACTAAACCTAATAGAAGCTGCATCCCTCACTGTGTCCTGAGGCACACAGTAGGCTGCCACATTATGGAATATTAGTCGAGAAATGTAAATACGGAACTTCATAACCCTTTCCAGTTACACGGCAGTTGCAGATGGAGTAACATTATGTAGCTAGAGACCCAAGGGAGCGGGGTTCTTCCAGTAACATCATATTATTTGCTGACGGTGCCGTGTTAGGTCGCAGATGAGGCTGGATATCTTGGAAAATTCTTCTTACTTAGTTTGGGTGTACTTAAGGTTGGGAAGTTTTAAGAAAATTTAGTGCCGGCTTCAGGAGAAAACTTGTTGATGTGTTGAAAAAGACAAGAATGCTTCAACCACCACAGGGGGACACCTGCCATATTGTTTTTGTTTTGTTTGTGTATAGAACCTGAGGACGCCGGCTTTTGGGGGGAAGATTCGGGGCAGTGGTGGCTTGGGTATGCCGGGGATGGGGTACTTGGGAAAAGTTGATGAGGGGGATTTTGGCCTTGAGGGAATCTTAGGGAGAGAGTTTTGCCTCCAGGGGAAGCCTGGGAGGGGTTTCGGTCTTTGGAAAGAGAGGATGGGTTGGTCGAGGGAAGCCACCGTGATATTAAACCCCAAGGCCGCGCCGGTGTGAAAAGTTGTGGCAATCACTGGCGGCTTCAGGTAAAGTCTTACAACGCCCGGATTGATTACTGAACCTGGAGTGACAGTCTTCAGTGATTAATTAAAAGGTGAGAGCGTGGGAGATCACTATGTAATGATGATATCAATTAGCGGTTTAAATATGGCCGTCAAAAGCTGGAAATATACAGAGGACGAAAATGGTGTGTGTGTGGGGGGTGATGTGTGTTGATGTGAACGCATTGTGGATATGGGCGTTA